AAAAATATATTTGTTTTCTTATAGATTCACGATGGATTGTCAAAATACTTGTTTGATTGATGGTGCAACTACACATACTATTTTTCAAGACAAAAAATATTTTTTAAACTTAACATTAGCAGAAAATAATGTTAATATTATATCAGGTGCATTGAATATCATTGAAAGCTCTAGAAGAGCTTGTATTATTTTACCAAATAATATGCACTTTATTCAAACAAATCCAGAAGAAATTTGATTAGTTTTAAAGATATCCGTTGTAATGGATGTCACATTGAGACGATATAAGAAAATAATGTTGAATATTTTTGCATAACTTCTTTTGTATTTGACTTGAAGCAGATAAAAGAAAAATTTTATGTACTCCCATCTGGCATGTATTATACATTTATAAAAATGGTCGAATTAAATATTATCACGAACCAAAATTTTGTTAATCCAAAAAAATTTATACTTTGGCATGATCGACTTGGACATCCGGAGCTATAATGATGCGTCGAATAATAAATAACTCAAATGGACATCCTTTAAAAAACCAGAAGATTCTTTTACCTAATGATTATCTATGTGTGGCTTGTTCAATTGTGATTGTTATTGAACAATTGGTTACGTATGTCCATACACAAAATGGATTAGTGAAATCGTTTATTGAACGTCTACAACTTATTGTTAGACCATTACTTATGAAAACAAAACTCCCAACTTCAATTTGGGGTCATGCCATATTACATACTTCGTCATTGGTTCGTATCAGACCAACTGCTTATTATCAATATTCACATTTGCAACTAGCATTTAGTAATGAACCTAATATTTCCCATTTACGGGTTTTTGGTTGTGCCGTTCAAGTCCCTATTTCACTCCCACAATGGACTAAAATGGGTCCCCAACGAAAACTTGGAATTTATGTGGGTTTTTATTCATCATCTATTATTAGATATCTCAAACATTTAGTAGGTGATTTATTTACTGCACATTTTGCAGATTGTCATTTTGATGAAATGACTTTCCATGGTTTTTATTCATCATCTATTATTAGATATCTCATACATATAATAGGTGATTTATTTACTGCACATTTTGCAGATTGTCATTTTGATGAAATGACTTTCCCAATTTCGGAAGGAAAAACTACATCAGAAGGGT